AATGTGAATATCAAACCTTTGCTGCATCAAAAGATACAAGATTAATAGTAATTTAATTTACACTATATGTGATGTCAAGTTTACATCACCTACACAAGCACCCGTATGTCATCAAGAAAACTTTCGTTGAAATCTTACCAACCTTTCTTTATAATAGGTACAAGTTCCCTAGCTGTCGTTTCAAGGAACGACGATAATTTATTTGATCCTTTACAAATTGGTTACCTTCTTTCATTAAATTTTACAGTTAACTTTGCTCATTTTCCGTTGTTGAGATAGTTCAACTTTGCTCGACCCCTTCCTTTCTTTCCTTTTTCAATAGTACTGATGCTATTTGGTAAGACTTCTGCATCATGTTGTACAGAATTAGAACCTCTCTCTGATATTCTTATGCCTTCATTTCCTTCTCTTGTTGCAGCAACAACTAAAGCTTTTTTAGCTCGTTTTGATTTCTTGTAGCCCTGAGTACATGACTGGATTGCACAAAAAAGAAAAAGACATTTTTTGCTTAAATTCAACATGAAAACATTTAAAACCCTTATACACAACCTCGTAACTTACTTCGCCAAGATTTGAAATATTATGTCCAATCATTTTACACATCAGTTTCCACAAAAGTCAGCTTTCATCATTTGTATCTACATAAATAAATTAAGAAAGAATAGAATTAGAGACATTAACATAAATGTAATATCAATAAAAATAATGCAAGAAAGAAAGAATCTTAAATCTACACAATTACCATATTCAATATCAATGCCCTCAAAGTCATATCTCACGTAACTTTCATCTTCAACAGTCATATCAAGTCTTGATGATGCAGCTAACGTGGAAGGAGTATAAGCATCATCATCAAAATTTTCTGACTCATGAAATCCTCTAGGAGGCGCCTTCAATACAATATACCAACTAGACGTATCACTTTCTCTAGAATAAAAAACTTATTTCGCTTGTGATGCTAAAATAAATGGATCTCTTTCAAATTGATGTTGTCCTCTATGAAGATTTACCAATGTAAACCCTTCTTCAATCTTGACTCCGCTATCTATATTTGCCCAATCACAATGAAATATAGGAACTTTAAAACTATGATAGTCTAGTAGAATTATATCTTTTATAACACCATAATACGAAATTTTACCAACTACATGACTTGTATCCTTCACACTAGATCAATAAATAGTTTGTGCCTCAATAGAAACACCACTATTTTGTGTACTTCTACTAACATTGGTTGTATGAAATCAATGTCCATTGACAACATAACCAGAATGTGACATCACCTCACATCTAGGTCGTCGTGCAAGCCATTTCAATATACTTGACATGTTACAATTGTCTTCTTTGTCTTTTTCTGCAAACCAAGAAGTGAAAGTCTCCATATGTTTCATTTGTAATAAGGTTTCATTCTTGGCAGCACGATTATCTAAATAAATAAAATAAAATAAATGAATAGTAATACAAGTTTATGAGAAAATATTAATCGATGTAAAACTAACTTATTAACTAACTTGATTACATTATATATAGTTCAATTTCTACACTGTTAAACAACACGTATCGATGAGTAACCTCTAACATTTCTTGACTCAAAATCTTTGACTTTCCTTTAGAAATTGTACGTCCATCAATAGTTGTATCATTCTCGAAATCCTCATTTTGATTATGTCGAACTCCTACCTCAGCAGCTTGTTTCATGTAAGCATTACAAAAATGCATACATTCATCGGCTAAATAACATTCTACTATGCAGCCCTCAGGTCTTGAACGATTTGTAACATATTCTTTAAGTGTCTTCATAAACCTAATTCACACATAATATGCATGAGAGACCTAAAAAACTAGAAGAAGAAAGGTTGAATAAGTACAGAAGTATAATGGTAAGTTACCTCTCAAATGGGCACATCCAATGATATTGTACAGTCCGCCAATATGAACCTCACGCCCAAGGTGAATGGTTAAATGAATCATTATGTCAAAAAAAAAAAAGGGAGGGAATACCTTTCAAGCATACATAAAGTCACAGCAACATCCTCCTCAAACTTTTCTAAATTATTTTTATCAATAACTCTTTGACATATTTTGTTAAAAAATGCACATAGTCGAAAAATTGCATTTCTTGGTCTTCTAGGTAAAAGTCCTCTTAATGCAATGGATAACAATTGTTGTATGAGCACGTGACAATGATGAGACTTTATATTTAAAATCCTATTATCTGTTATTGAGATACACTTTGAAATGTTAGAGCTATAACCATCGGGTAATCTTAAATCAAATAATCTCTTACAAAATAACTCTATCTCTCTTTTGGATAGCATGTATGATGCTGCGGATAGGTAATATGTATTTTCTTTCAACTCTGGATGAAGATTCTTTCTAATACCCATAATAACCAAATCCTTACGAAAATTGAGCCCATCTTTTGATTTTCCTTTCATATTCAGAATAGTGCCAAGTATGCTCTCACAAACATTCTTCTCAATGTGCAGAGAGACTCTTTTGAGAGGTTTTTTGTTGAGAGTTTGTAAACTCCGTTGTAAATTCTATTCAAGTAGAAATAGAATTGTCCAAATTATGACGTAAAAGTAGTATCTGAAAATAATGATATAAATTTAGAAAAAAAAGTTATGCAAAAAGATAACTAAATTCAAGTAGTTTGAACAACTAACCTCCCAATACGGTAGATCAAAGAATATTGATTTCCTTTTCCATGGCCAATGGGTAACTAGTTTTTTCTATTTCCTTTTTTCCTTTTTCCCCCTAATCATTGCTAACATTCTTTATTGAATACATTACTTCTCGACCAGTTAATATTTTTGGATTGGGCCTGTGATACTTATTTCCATTAAACCAAACTTCTTTCGATTGAAAAGTATGATTATATGAAAGAAATCTTCTATGACCCAAATATGCGAACTTTCAACTATATGTCAACCATTTTGCACATATGGATAAACCACATACAGGACATGCCACCTCGCCCTTTGTGGGATATCCAGATAAGTTTCCATTAGCCGAAAAATCATTAATTTTCAAGATAAATACAGCCTTCAAATTGAAGATAGACTTGGTAAAGCCATCATATATTTCAACACCAGTATTCCACAACTCCTTTAAGTCTTCTATAAGTGGTTTTAGATATACATCTATATCATTCCAGGTTGCTTTGGACTTGGGATTAACAAAGTCAATAATAAATTTTCCTTGGACATGCATATCCAAGGAGGTAGATTATATATAACTAAAATCATCGGCCAACAACTATACCTGACCTTAGTTCACCAAAAGGATTAAATCCATTGGACAAAAGGCCAAGCCTAAGATTTCGTGGTTTTGATGCAAAAGAAGGCTATTTTTGATCAATTCTCTCCCAAGCTAATGAATCAATAGGATGACGCATTTTTCCATCTTGACTTTTGTAAGTTAAGTGCCATATTAGTTGTTCTGCCATGTCAGGTGACCTAAACATTCTTCTAAATAGAGGTATAATTAGAAAACATCGTAAAACTTTTGCAGGTATTCCCTTTTGAATCCTTTTAGTCTGTTAATTAACTTTCCAATGTGAAGATGCACATTTTGGACATGTCTCCAAATCCTTTAGATCCTTTTTAAACAAACAACAATCCTTTACGCATGCATGTATCTTCTCATATCCCAAATTAAAGGTTTTCAATAACCTTTTTGTTGAATTACAGGAATAGGAAAGAGTGATCGGTAGCATGTCTCAAATTATTTCAAGAAGTTCATTGAAACCATTATCAGATATACCATGAGTAGTTTTAAGCTTGTATAATACAACGATTGCAGATACTCTTGTATACTTTGTAGAATCGGGATATAAAGAAATTTCAACTCCCTCGTATAAATTAGAAAATTCTTTCTTTTGACTTTCATTCTCAGGTTCTATGTTATTGTCATCTTGAAGAAATGCATCCTATATGTCTCAAAATTTTCTACATCTTGATGAGGCAATGATGTATTCGGTTTTTCGCCATGAAACACCCACGTAGTATAAGTAAGATCCATCCCATGAATGATCAAATGCCCACCCATTGTATCAAAATGTTGGTAAAATAGGTTTTTGCAACATTTGCAAGGGCATATGATCTTTTCTGAATTCCATACATTGGCTTGCACCATATTTGCAAACCTTCTTACACCGTGTTGATATGCCTCCAAAACTCTATAATAAAACACTAAGTAAATCATCTAAAAGTGTATACGAACATATTTAAAAACATTCTAAACTTAAGGAGATAAGATAATCTTGATTGGTGTACCCAATCTTTATCCATGATATTATACCAACACTATTAAGATATAACCTATTATAACATACTTTTTTTTTTCCACTGTTAAATGGTTATACAGAAAAACACTATTTTTTCTGCTTAATCATAATGAAACACCTTACATAGGAAGCATTTAGTCAAATATCTCCAAGTAAACATATGTTCAACCAGAATAAGTTAGACCTAGATAACTGAACCACTCTATAATTTATCACAATTGTGACTAAAAGAGAACAACTTCAACAATTATCGAGATGCTTTTGCACAATTGACTAATTATGCACCAATCCCTTATTCCTCAGAGAATAAAACATGTCAGTTTATATTTAGATACATGCACAAGCAAAAGGATTAGAAAGAAGATAATTTTAATATAAAATTTAGTACGAAAATTATTTGGATCCTTATGTTGTTCAGGGTAACCACATAGCCTAGAATTTAAGCCTTAAGGGAAGATTAGTGTGCCAGCAAATATTGGGTAACCATTTGCCAGAGAAAAGTTCTACAAATTAAAAGCATCATTCTTGAAATGAGTTTGGGAGGAAGAATTCCAAGATTTTAATATTTTTGGGAGGCAACTACAACACACCTTGGAGAAATTTCCAATTAACAACTTATGAATGTTTATGGTTATCCAATTATGTAATTTCCAATTAAGAACAAATTTCCACTTATATTGAAATGAAAATTACTCAAAGAGACCATATATTTGTCTGCTGAGGGAAGTAAGTTGCTTATTTTTATCTTCTTTTTTTTTTTCCTTTTCCTCTTGTTCATTCTTTGTTAGATTTACTAATTAGAAAAAATTAGTGCATTATAGAAACCAACTAAAAGTTCAAATAAACCATTGGTCAAAATATTAGCAGGGACTAAATAGTGGCTAAAAAGTCTTATTGACCAATGTTTGTTAACTGTCCCTTAATTTGAATGCTTATTATCTATTAATATTGATGGCCAAAAACATAAGTGTTGGTTTCTTTATGTGTCATTGTAACACTTCTCTATAATAGATAACGTTTATATTTGAAATGATGTAATTGAACTAATTTCCAATTAACCATTATGGTTATCAACAGAACTTCAAAAGATAGTTATCCACTTATGTTGAAGACATATATCAAAGAGCACTTATGAATGTTTATTGGATGGAAAAGTCTTATGAAAGAAAATGTGAAAGTCGTTTACCAGCAGTATTGTCCACTTTGTTATAATTTGTTTTTCTTGATTGTTCTTACAACTTCCCTTCGGAGAGAATTCCCAGCTGTATCCAGATTAGATGCCAATTTTGGGAGCCACTGGCCTAAAGATATGCAAATACTAATCAAAGTAATTCTTAGATACAAGCGTTGGATTTCCGACTGCTTTAAAGTTATTGTTGCCTACAAATTATTCAAATTTGATATATTGGTACTTAAAAGATCTTCATGCCAGTCATTCATCGAATTCACATACATAAGCACTATTCTTCTGGCTATAATTAGTCCTATGATTCATCTCCTCTGAATCTTGTTTCAATGGTGAATATGAGAATAGAAATCCCAAAATTTAAATCATTGCGTCCATAAACACATGTTTCGATTTTTTTTCGTTGTCATCTCAACCTTATTTCAAAAAATTTACTAGGACATTATTTCATTTCATCAGGAAGAAACCAATCGTTACTTTCAGCCTCCATACAATTACCATAAATTCAAATCACAATCAAACCATACATAATAAACGACTCTTCTCAAAGTCATTACGTCAAACACATTGCCCACACAATTAAACCTATGATCAAATATTTAGAAAAGTGAGTTCTCAAACAGAGGCAAAACCATAACATATTTATTTTGTACAAAAATATATAGTGACTGCACTTACCAGACAAGAGGCCGGAAGTAGGATCTTCAAGGTCGTTCAGAGACTACATACGAGCAGATTTATAGTAGCTATAAACTTCATGATTTTGGAGGAGATTTGAGAGCCGAGAGCACCGAGTAGAGAGTTGGAAATTGAGAAATAAGGAGGGAGTGGATTTGGGAATTTCATGAGTTACAATTTCAACCCAAACAGCTAATTTTATTTCACTTTTTTCTTTGGGCAGGATAAGTGGTGAGCCTGGTTTTAAATTTTCACCAAAGATAATGAATGTGTTGGGCTAGGCCCAAAATTCAACAGATCTTTTATGGCATGCAAAAAATGTATGCCTTAAATATTTTATCTTTACGGCATGCAAAGAATGTATGCCATAAAATATTATAAGTAATCCATCATTTACAGCATGCTGTAAATAGTCTATTTTTAGGGCATGCATTTTTTGCAAGTCGTAAACAGATGTCGTAAAAAGTTCATTTTGTTGTAGTGTTTCCAACTCAAATATTTATTCGTGTTGTTGCATTGAAAAAATTTTGTTTTGGTAGTGACACAACCCGTCCCGAATCATCCTAATGGACCCGACACGTGTCGTGCACCGATGAGGGATACCAGCTAAATTTTGGACCCACCACCAAGACAACTATGATTTGCTTTGACTGTGACATAATTTTATAAAAATTTGACAGAGTTTCTTCTAAAATATAGACTAGAATCACCTAAAAATTATCAACTTTCTCAAACCAATACATATAATTTAAAACAAGGTACATTAGCCCTTCCAAACAAAACGATTCGAAATAAAGCGCGTTGAAAAGGAATTTACACTTCTTTACAAACCAGAAGACTCCAAATGCATTATTTATACAAAATTATGTAGTAAGCCCATGATATAAACTAAAAAAAGATGCATCTACCCCAAAAATTATGAACTATAAAAACTGACAAAAAGAAACATACAAATAACAACTGAGTGGCTCAATTTGGTGATTCAACATGCTCCTATGCGGCTCAACACAGCTATTGTCTAATAAGAAAAAGGGAGATGAAATATATGAACTTGTAACTCAGTGAGTGAATAATTTTGTAAACAAATATACTTTTTCCATTTATGCTAACTTTCTAGAAGTTGTTTTATAATAAAAATATCATCATTACACAGTACTTTAAACTAAAATTTTTATTCTTTAAATTGAATAAGCTAAATTCTGTATTCTGAAATCTGATAAAGTTGTATAATATTGAAAAATCACACTAAAAGGTATCGGAAATAACTATACTCATGTATTGGATTGCACCGATAGACATGACAAAGTTATCTAATTCTGAAATTCTGGTCATACGTGCAGAGCTATCTGGTCATACACCATGGAAACACATTCATAATAGTGCAGAGTGGGTAAAATTACCATAACTGGTCATACACTGTGGAAACACATTCACACCAGTGCAGAGCGGGTAAAATCACATGGGTACTTTCTAGTGGTTATTAGAAAATAACTTTAAAATTGCTGAACTATTTAATACTAAAATAATATGCCAATAAAATGATTTAACTTAACCGAATTTAACTTTAAAAACAACTGTTTATAAATTAACTTTATTCTGAAAATCATGGAGGAAATCCCCCCAATGGTCATTGAACTTTGCAGAAAATCCTCTAGGAGGTCACCGAACTTCAATACGTCCCTGAATGGTCACTGAACTTTTTCGAAATCTCCCAAGAAGTTTCCGAACTTCAAAAAGTCCTTAAATGGTCACTGAATTTTGCAAAAAGTCACTGGGAGGTCACTAAACTAGTTATGTATGGAGTCTCAATTTACAACATTGAGTGACTAATCTAGGGGACTTTAGCATAGTTCGATGACCATTTAGGGATGTTTTGAAGTTCGATGACCTCTTGGATGATTACGACAAAGTTTAGTGACCATTCAGGGACATATTGAAGTTCGGTGACCTCCTAGGGGATTTTTTGCAAAGTTCAGTGACCATTATGAGGATTTCCTCGAAAATCGTGCTATCAAATCAACTGTATGAATTAATAAATTTTATGATTTAATATAAATTTTATAAATACTAATTTCTAAAAAATAAGTTTATATCCACGCACACAATACAAGCTACAAACTAGGCTGGTCGATAAGCTTTTCCAATTTCTTCGTCACCACCTGAAATACGTTAAAAAATAACTAATTTAACCACTATTAAGATCATGAAACCTTTTATCTCTAATGATATAATAATTAAACTAAATTTCCCGAGACTTGCGAAATTTTCCTAAATTTCCTTTAATCAATTTGCAATAATTCTTACTTTCTAATACCTTCACAATTGCGCCACATATCCAAATTTACTTTCATCCCAAACATAAAAACAATCTCTTCTTCTCTTCTTGTGAAACTTGAATTCTCTTTTGCACCAATTTAATTTACATCTTTTTCATTATATTAATCATTTCAAGTGTGTATTTCATCGATACTGTAATTTCCACTAATTATACCTATTCAAGAACTCGATTAAAAACTCTACGGCTTACCAAAATTAATATTTTTTTTACCTTGATATGAAAATCTTTCATAAATCAAAAAGACCGGTTTGAAACCATACTCTTTCCATTAATCCGAAAATTAAACTATCAAATTAACACAACTACTTAGAAACCTATAAAGTTTAATATAAATTATAACGTAAAACAATTACCTCTTCGTCTCTAAGAAATGAAGAAATTGAATAATGGAACTCAAGTTTTCTCCCCCCCCCCCCCCCTTACCCTTCTTCCTTTTCTTCCTTTTTCTCTTTTCTTTTCTCGTCTTTTTCTTCCTCTTTCTCAATTATTCTGGCTTCTGCAAACTGCCGTCGAAGTCTCTCCCTCTTGTGTGTGTATATATCACAAAACAAATGAGACATTAGCTAACAACTTGCCACTTGTCCTCCAATAACCCAATTTTGCAATCAAGTCCCTTCTTTTATGTTTTGTATAAATTCTAGTCATTAATTTTTCCATACTTATAAACTAAATCCACCAAGTTTAAATGATGGCCATTTTAAATCCTTAAGTAATATCAATAACAAAATAAACCCCAATAATATAATTTTGTCAATTAAGTCCCAATCAAATTATTTATTTAATTTAAATCCCTAGTTGACCTTGACTTTTGACTAAATAATATGGGTTGTAACAATCTTACCTCTTTAAACGAATTTCGTCCTTGAAATTCAACTGGCATCTAATTAGGTAACGAATAGATGAGGATATTGAACACGCATCTGATCCTCATGCTCTTCGCTGAATTTGCACCTATCTGTCTAGAATTCTCACTTGCTCCTCTGTATAAGTGAAATTATCCTTCAAGTAAATATAATGAGACTCTAGAACATGAGAAGGATCTGCAATGTACTTGTGGAGTATAAAGACATGAAAAACATCATGGATCTTAGATAATTCAGTTGCCAAATCTAATCGATATGCAACTGGACCACTCAGTAATCTCATATGGTCCAATGTATCGTGGACTCAATTTTCCTCGCTTGCCAAATCTCAAAACTCCTTTCGAAGGAGACAATTTTAAAAATACTTTATCTCCAACTGCAAATTTCAGATCTTTTCTGCTCCATCTGCATAACTTTTCTGTCTATCTTATGTTGCTTTCAACTTTTCTTTGATCAATTTCACATTTTCTGAAGTCATTTCAACCAATTCAGGGCCTACTAACTTCCTCTTACCAGCTTCATCCCAGCAAATTGGTGTTCTGCACTTTCTACCATATAAAGCTTCAAAAGGAGTGGTAACTGTTATTGTAAGCAAACTCTATCAACGCCAAATGTGAATCCTAGCTATCTCTGAACTCTAAAACACAAACCCTCAACATATCCTCAAGAGTCTATATGGTCCTCTCTGATTGACCATCTGTCTGCGAATGAAAAGCTATACTGAAATGTTATTTAGTATCCATTGCTTCCTGTAAACTGGGCCAAAATTTAGATATAAAACGAGAGTCTCTGTCAGATACAATAGATAATGGAATACCATATAAGCTCACTATCTCGTCCACCTACAACTTTGCCAACTTATTTAAAGTATAAGTGGCTTTGGTCAGCAAAAACTTGGTAGACTTGGTCAAAACGTCCACAATAACCCAAATATCTTCTGATGAATTGGCTTTACCCACTGATAGATAAGACATTCAAATACAAAATCTACTATCTGTCTCTTCATTCCAAGCCACTAGTTATGATCTTTCAATGTATGATACATTTTAATACTGCTTGAATGCATAGCATAAGCAGAACAGTGTGCCTCTTCGAGAATCTCTTTCTTTAATTCGAGAATATCTGGAACACATAATCTATTATCTATAGCCAATGCGCCATCATCTCTAATCACATAATCCTTTCTTAGCACATTGTTGACTTTTGCTTTCAATGTTTTCAATGTCAGGTCTTGTGATTGAGCTTCTTTAACCTTATCAATTAAAGTAGGCCTTACCTGAAAATGAGCTAAAATGCCCCAGAAGTAGTAACTGACAACTGAGTATGCAACTTTTTGAACTCACCAATAAAAGAAGCATATACTGTACTAGATGGAGAGGAAGAATCAGTCTTTCTACTAAGAGTATCTGCAACTATATTAGCTTTCCTTGGATGGTAGTCAATCTTACAATCATAATCCTTTATTAATTCCAACCATCTTCTTTGCCTCAGATTCAGTTCCTTCTGATCAAAGATATACTTTAGACTTTTATGGTCGGTAAATATTGCCATTTCTTACCATAAAGATAGTGGCTCCAAATATTTAATGCCAACACTACTGCAGCTAACTCTAAATCATGAGTTGGGTAATTGACTCTTGCTTCTTCAATTGTCTAGAAGCATAAGTTACAACTTTCTCATTCTACATTAGAATACAACCCAATCCTTGGTGTGAAGCATCACTATAGATCACAAACTCTTCACCTAGAGATGGAAGAGTAAGTATAAGAGCGAAAATT